GAAAGATATTTTTGTTCTGAAGTTTGTGTTTTAGAGGGGATTTATTTTTCAAAAATGGTTTTTGTAAGAATGGATGGCCAAGGTAGGCTTATGTGTTTAGGCTTGTTTGATTAAACACTTATGAAGTTAAAAAGTCGTGTTGTGATTCGACAACTTGGATAGCTTCCCTTGAACCTTTCTTGAATTCGGCTCGTGGTACCATCATGGATTTCTTTTTTTTTTTATTGTCCTTATTTTTGCCTAAAACACCCTTTTGTGGCGTTTTAGCGGACCTTTATTTTTTATTTTTTTTGTTTATTTTGCAATCCTAACTTTTGCCTAGGTCACCCTTTCCGGGACATCTGGTATATATATATATATATATATATATATCATAACCTACAATGCATAAATTTTGGTATTTCTAGGTTTGTTGTCCCTCGAGTAATTTATTAATCTCCATTAATTTAAACATTACTTTAATTGAAGTTTTGAAATTTATTTTACCGTTAAGTTAAAATGTGATCCTTTCAGTTGATATCCTTTTTCGTTTTAACCCTTATATGAAAATCTTTACAGTGTAGTTAATGAATAAAAAAGATTTATAAATTCTCCCTTACCATTTTCCAAAGTTATAATGGTATTATATTTGATCCTCATACCTATATTTTTTTTTCTTATGTGAAAGTATTTTACACTGCATTTTGGTCCTTACATAATTTTTTTTAATGTTTTAGTCTTTATATGTTACATTCTATTTTTCTTTTTGGTTTCTATATAAAAATTTCTAACATTATTAAATTTTTTAATAAATAATAAAGAATAATTAATTTATATAAAAAAACTTTTATGTAGGGAACGAATTATAATTTTTTCCAAGGTCTAAATCAAAAATAGTGTTGAAAATAAGAACTAAATTTATAATATAACTTTTTTTATTTGATTTATTGGAAAAAAATGAGCATGATTTCCAAGGAGAAATTGGGCTATGATCTAAAAAATAAAAAATAAAATTGATTAAATTAAACAAAGTACATGCTAAAGAATTAATATCTTAAAGTTATTTTCGGTCAAAAAGAAATATGACAATGTTAAGCAATTTTAACATGTATAGTGTGGTAACTCTACATAACATTAGATTTTCCAATCTTTACTGAGGCATAGTGGATCCAATCTAACTACTTTTTGGTAATTATTTGATCTAGTTGAGTTGTTGAATTAGATCTAAATGTGAATACCATAATCTGTAAGTGAAAAATATAATGGATTTTGAATTATTACTATCGTTGTATGTAATTGTATCCTTAACTCAATTTTTTCTTCTTGTTTTATTTAGATTATTGGATTTGCCATTGGAGCAATTTCTCCAATTCAAAAGCTCATGGTTGGTGACAATGCTCCCCTTCGTGTGATCATTTCTTCGGCATCTTTAGTGGGGTATGTGTTCTTCATACATGTGGATGACTTGAATTTGCATTAATGCATATAAGAACACTTAAAGAGTCATTGCAATGTTATTTATAGCTCTTGAAAAAAAGTGAGAGGTCTGCTTTAGAAGATAAAATGCATTGAGATTACGATAAAATGCATCTCAACTATTGACTTTTAAATAAGTAGCTTTAATTGGATTTTATTCACTAAAGTACAACTCTTTTGTAACACCTTATTACATTAAACTATTAACCCAAAATTAACTTATTTTATTTCAATCATTATATTTAATTAAATCAATGGATTTTTTTTCCTGGATAACATGTTACAAAACAAAAATAGAAGGATATAAATATAACTTTAATAATAGATTTTTCATTAATTACAAAGAAAATAATACACCAATGATTTTATCTTGAAACAAAATTACATAGAAAGAAACTAGTACATTATATGTAGGATTCCCATTACAATAAAAGACCCTTACTAAATCCTACAAATCAAATTCCTAAACTTCTAGTTCTTTCCTATTTTGTCACCTAGGTAGCTCTCATGGTTGGTAATTGAGTCGTCAAACAAGCACAAACTCGATTTGTCGATCCAATTATATCATCACGTAAAGAACTACATGCAAAAGAAAATAGAGAAGACGTATAAAGGGAACTTTTATACTTTTATCTTCATTTATATGGAATGAGTTAGGTCTTATCTTTATCTAACACAGACAACACAAAAACATATAGAGGAAAATCTGAGAGTTTAACTACATTATCTAGACCTCAATGTCAACCTTAAAAACTACCTCAATGAAGTTCTCCAAATTAAACAAACTCGACTGGGCTCTCAAGGCTTTTCCCCCCTCAACCTTCACACATTACAACCTGATTTGGGTTCACAAGGCTTTCTCCCCTAGCCTTAATTCCTTTGTATGGGTCCATATTCACTGTTGACACTTCCTTTTGAAAGTGATGTGGAGTAAATTATCTTCGATCCAAATCATGGTACCCTGACACTATACCCACTTTCAAACATCATATATGTTCTTAAATATAACCTTGATATAGACCTACAAGAAATATACTCTTTACCCATTGTTTGGCGACATTAGGATTGTACAAGTTGACATTGTTTATCCTGATGCATATATGCGATCCTATCCATTGGGATCCCGTAGTCACATCGTCATCCCTAGACCTTGTGGCCTGCACTTCAATCTTCTGCTATCCAAAGTATTACTTCCTATTGCATACCCAATCAACATTCCAACTAACTTAGCTATCCAAGTCTTTCGAATTACTAAAGTACAAACTTTCATATATAAACTCTACAAAGTTCATACGTAAATATGTTGACTTATAAAAGCGTGAAAAACACGTATAAATATATAATATGCCAATCATATTGCATAATATTCATAAGCTATTAATATTATAAAAATTAATTCAAACTTTCTTAGTAATTCTGATATTTAACTTTATACCTTGTAATTTAATTGTAACTTATATTATCAATTGATGTCCTTGTATATATAATGTTTTTAATAGGAACTTTACTCTATCTAGTAAAAAGATAAATTATAAGCTGCTAACTTCTATTTAAATGTGAATTTACTTATTTCAAATTGAGTTTTGTATTGGAAAACTATAAGCGATTTATTTTTAGTTATAGATTAAGAATATAATTTCTTTTAGTTTTTGAAATTTATTTTAATACTTAGATTAGATTACCTTATTTAAAGTCATAATTAACTTAGTGTTTAGGCCCTTAATTACTATAGTAACTTTTCTCTTTATCAATTATTTATTTATATTTTACTAAAAAATGTATCCTGTTTAATTTCTTGTGCAATTATAAAGTAGTTGTAAGTAATTAAATTTTTACATAGGACCTGTTTCTACAAACAAATTATTAAGATCTTATTTAATAAACTTTTATATAATAATAATTTATATTATAAGGGCTTAAAATTCAATAAATTGTTATATTTGAAATTACAAATAAGCACTTAGAAAATAAGATAAGAAAAAATAAGTTGTTCATAAGTTTTTCAAATAGGGCCATAGTGCTATATGTAAAATACTTATATCTTTCTTATCCATAGGAATTACAATGATGACAACAAGGTTCCTGTGCACAACACCAACATTAGATTAACCCTAATGGTTTAAAATACTTATATCTTGGTCTTTGAGAAAAATACTTAGGTGTTACTATTTAAGTAACTAGTTTAAGAATTAAATATTTTACCAAGGCTATTACCTCTAAAATAAACTTATGAAATTTTATATATTATTTTCATATTTTTTTGTCACTTTTTATACATAAAACCATGAATTTTCTTTATAAAAGTAACTAAATACTTAAATATGTATCTTGTTTAGTTAATTTACAAAACATGTTATTTTCTTTCCATTTATTTCTAAAGGTGTTGTTTTTCTAGAACAAGTAAGAACCAATTTTTATAGGTTGAAATAATTATATTTAATTTTATAATTCATAAAAATAATTTTCTAGCCAACTTTTTACAAATGTTTTTAAAATTGAGAGACCTTATTTACCTGGAGGTCTTTTCTAAATCTGTAAAAATGCAAGAAGTGATCTAGCTCTTTAAATCCATTTTAGAATCTTCAAAAATGAGTTTTTGAATTGTTTAAATGAAATGTTTGAAAAATGAAAAAAGAAAAATTTTATAACTGTTTTGAACATCTTTGCTACTTATGAACCTTTTTTTTTTCCTTCTAGAACATCATAGGACCATAAAAGCACATGAAATCATGTTATCATGAGTTAACTTTATACACAAAATATAAACATGCAAGTATAGTAAACATTTTTGTAGATCTACCTAGAATGAACAAGTCATAACATAGTTATATACATTCAAACATCATTTGTCAAGATTTACAACTACATGGACAAGAACCAAAAATGCAACAACACATTTAGTTCATAAGAATCACTTAGAGTGAAAGGATCTTGGGTGCTAAGACCCTTCTCATCTCTCCTACCAAAACAAGATCAAAATGAAGGAAATCACCTCCCCCCATATCTTTTTCTTGGGTGTGACACACCAGAATGAGAGACTCTTCTTAAATTTCTCTCCTTCCATCAATATTTTCCTCACTAGCATCCTATTAAGTGAATTTTTTTTCAAACTTATGGATGGTTATGAGGGACCTTTGGAGAAGGTCTCTATTTATAAAAAGGTGTGATGGTTCTAGAGATATGAGTGCTGGATATTGGTGGCAAGGAATGTAATGACACAACAAGCCATACATCAGTGAAACAACACAACAACGTAACAAGAGATAGCAAAATTGACTACCCAAACTATTGCGGGTTAACACAATGTTGGCCACGAGCTATAATGGACTGGGCCATAAAGGCCTAGACTAAATTCAATCTTCTACATTGATGCCTATTTAGGTTATGGGTGTGATTCCCTTTTACATCAAAATGTTTAATATGAATTTATTAAAAAAATCATCATTTAGAAAGGGATTTAAATAAAATAAAACTCTAACTAATAAAGAAAATAAAACAAGAAACAAGTTTGAAAAAATGAAGGCATAATCAGCCTTTACAAATTCTCAAAGTAAATGAAATATAACAAAACAAATTCTAAGTCTAAAACATGGTTTTCAAAAGACATAAAACATCATTGTTCACTAGCTTTGATGTCATGCTAATCATAGAAAAATCCAAAAAACAAGCCGAAGCATCAAACTTCAATTCCCTCATACTTAACATCATCTACTTAATCAATTCTTGCATGGTGTTCAATCCAAAAAAAAAAAAAAAAAGAAACAACAAGAATAACAACAAAAACACACGGGGAGTGAGAATATATCTCACACTATTTTAAAGAAAATATCATGCACTAAGAAGATATTTTTAACTTTACAAAGATACCATGCACTAAGAAGTGTTCAACTTAGACCTAACCAATGGCTAAGCCCCAAACTTATTTTTCTCACAAATGGCTAAGCATTAACTTATACTTCTAAAATTGTAAAATTATTCATACTAATACCCCTCAATTGTTGTATAAGTATGTACTCTTATTTAAATATTCCCCATAATACTCAATATATATATATAGGTAGCATGTGGTATCGATTTCCAACATCGTCAAAAGATGCTCCAACATAAAGGAAACATAGGAGCACATGGATTGAATCACCACATGTTGAGTGACCTTTACAAACCATTCTCGACTAGGAGAGATCAACATGAATCTAGTTGAAGCATTACAGTCGGCCTTGGTTGCCCCCATAATCATTAGGAACTCCTTATCATAACACCCCAAGGTTTATGTAAAAGACCATAAAGATCCTCCTACATAGATTCACTCCACCTCCCAAAGAAAGTATTCATGAAATGCATGGACTCCTTACAACATTCTCAATACAACGACAATGAGATTTTAGTCACAAAAACAACTTGTTAGCTATACTTCTCTATTTGGGCTTCTCCACAAAATACCAAGCCCTGCTTGGATTTCATCACTGTCAAGCCTCTACATGGGCTTACTCATCTCATCATCATCATCATCATCAATAACCCCTATATTCTTATTATTATGTCTTTTCATTATACTCATTTATTTTCTATATTTACTCAGTTAGTCATCTTATTCTTCTATTTCTTTTTATTGTTTTCTATTTTTTATCAACACCCATTTCTTTCTTTATAATTGATTATCCACGATTATCTATTCTCTTTAATTATCTTTTCTTTGAACTATGACTTGTATTACATTTTCATTGGCTTCTCTATTAACTATTACTTTTAAAACTCTTTATCTCTCTCTTGCTCCCTTTTTGTTAACAAAGTTGCACCTAATGAGAAAATGATCACACCTAGTGTGGAGAGGTTAGAGACTTTTCTATCGCTTTCGTGCCTAGTGTGGATACTCCTAGCCCCAACACAAAAAGGTTAGGAACCTCTCTAGTATTGTTGCACCTAGCGTCATCTTGGTCACTCCCAACATTATCTTTTGGAAAAATGACATCAAATTGCGCCAGGCAAGACACCCATCGCCATTATTGAGAAGTCAAAGACATCTTTATGGTTCACATGCCCGATGTGGCCTTCTCCATTCCCAAGGTAAAGAACTAAACCTATTATGCTCGACGCGTTACATGTGCACCCAACATTGCAACAAGTCTTGCACTTCACAAAATTGTGAACCTTGCGATTCAATGTCCCCAAAACCCATATGACTATATCTAATCATTTATTGCCTCAGATCAATCAGTTAAACAGTCATATATCACTCATAGAATATAAAGTAACATCAAATAACTCCAATCAATTCATTCTTGTAAAAATCCTCAATTCATACAAAACCTAATTCTCAAAAAGACGACGTATAGCACATCACAATCAATTTTTCATCTTAGACCACAAAATTTCATCATGACTATTTACAAAAATTACAAAATTATATAATTATGTAGTTTCATCAATCTCAATTTACCCACGTGGACATCAACAAAATCTAACCAACAACATAAGAGGCTTAGGGATCGCCTCACTACATATACCTCTTATACGTGCCCATGAATGAGACTTTCTCACTTACCTTTACCTTAGGTGACAACTTTTGAGGCATTGATACACTTTTCCATTGTCTTTCATGTTTCGCTCTAATGTTTCCTTTATAGGCACTTTTAGGATTCAAAATAGATTCACAAAATGAATTAACCTTTTTTTTTTTAAAAATAAATCTTTGGGTTCGGCTAAAGAGCCTAACCCAAGAATCTCTAACCCACTACCTACTCTCTTTTATTTTATTAATTAAAACTTTTGTATTTATATTATATACCCAATTAAATAATTTAATTAAATTCATAATATAAATTTTATCTTAAATAACTTTATTTTATTTTTATTTTGAAAATCAAGATGTTACATGTTTCCTATCACATCTCTTCCTTGTTTCTAATCACGGTGCCCTTCAATAAGCAAGGTCATGTTCATAAACTAACATTTTTGTTATCTTTTCGAGCATCACCGTGTTTAGGTTCTCACCATCTTGTTTAGAAAAAGGACCACGATTATTGCTAATTTAACAAGGTCATTGTTTACTCAACACGATCATGCTCCGCTTGAGCATACTTGTGTCTCTCTTAGCATGATCATGCTCCCATGCACACACTTGTGCCTTCAAAACTTTGTTCACAATTCTTTGAATGCAATCCAAAAAGACACTAATTCTAACATTTTAATCCATTCTAACACATTATGAATTGTCTCTCATTTATAAGGCATAATTACTCAAATGATTAACTAAAACATTGAATACACAACTCAATTATGGTTTAGGAACCCTAACATATCCAAATTAGGCAAAACATCATTAACTCTAATTTAATAAAGTCAAAGCAATTCAATTGGCTATTCACCAAATCATTCAACCAAAAATAAATATAAATCATAACCCCTTCAAGGTATTCAAAATCCCTCCAAAATATGCAGTTGAATTCCTAAAGAAGTTTAAGGATAATCTTGCTATCCATAATTTCAATTCGTATACATGGGGAGAAAAGTCTCACTTTTCTTTATTTGGAAAACATTCTTGGACTCTCCTCCCTAAGATAGCAAAAAATGGTATTGTAATATATATGCATAAATTTCTTACCATGTGTTATAGATGAGTTATTAGTATGAAAGCTTCAAATATGAAGTGTTAATAATCAAATATAGCTCTTTCTATTTTGGTGTGGGGGATTAGAAAGGTTATTACTCATTGTTTATCATTAAGTGCAATGATGTTGTGCCTAAAGTGTGTGGGTATCCTCCAAAGTCCCACATCGGGTAGTTTTGAAGAAGAGAAGTGGTAGACTACTACTATAAATAAGAGGTGATAGTTTGGGTCTACGTACTTACCACAGTAACACTAGTCTTTGAGTGTATTGGAGACTTGGGTAGTTGTGTGTCATGAGAGGGTTTGTAATTTTTTCGTGCAAAAATTGTTTGAGAAGATTTCCAAGTTTCACCTGAAAACTTGTGAATGAGAGTGTTTGTAATTTTGTCCTTGTAAAAATTACAAGTGAAGAAATAAAAATAATTTCTAAATTTATTTATCTATTTTTGTTTCTTTCATGTGTGTGCTTTCGCTGTTGAAGACTTCTTTTCCCAACAAGTGATGACTAAGATTAGATAACATTGTGAGGCATAATTTATTGATAAAAATAGTGGAGCAACAATCATGACATTAGAATTTGAGTAATGATCCGTTGACACTCTAACTAATGCATCCACCCACCTGATACCCCTTATATTTTTCTTTATTACATCATATCATCAACCTTATCATCTCTTATATCTCATTTTCTTTTATCACTTTTTTGGATGTTTACACTTTTAAGGCCAATCAATAAATATTTTTCCTTAGAAATTTGTATTTCTCAATAATTTTGATATAAGCGAATCATCGTAATAGTTACTGGATGCATGATTGCACTTTTCCCAAAAACCAAGATTGTGTGAACTTGTTAAAAATATATTTTTGTTTTGACATTCATGTTGTATTAAAACTTTTTTATTCCTTATTTTATATAGAAATTAATAAAGTACGGGATATTCTTGAGGTATTGGTTCAACTAAACTAAGGTTGCATTTGGTATACAAATTTTTCTCTCAAAATTCTAACATTAGGAATATTAGTTTTCCATGTTTGATTTGTTATTTAAAAATAAAATTCCTAAAAAACATCGTTTTTTGGAATGGTTTTTACTTAGGTTTCTAATGAAATTATTCTGATGAGAGAGGTGAGGAACTAACTTTTTTGAGGTAAAAAAAAGTTTTAATGCAGTAGAAATATCATGTTAGGTTTATTTGCTTAGTTAATGCAGTAATGATTATTGATTCCCACGTAACATTTAAAAAATTCTTAGAAACACCTAGGACCAATTAAACAGATTTTCATGATTTTCAAGATTTATGATTTTTATGAATCATGATTCTTAAACATGAGAAAAAATTTTGTGTACCAAACGCTTCCTAAATGTATTGAAATAGTAGATACTTAAAAGATAAATGTATAATGTACAATATTCTATCACCATTCTCATCCAAATTGTGGAAATTGTAGGGGTGGTATGATTGTGTCTACGACTTTGATAGTTGGAGCAAATCTTCTTGATGGTACTTTGTCAATTTATTTTATTTCTTTCTCCCCCTTTCTCTTTTTAAAATTTACATTTCTAACTTATTGAAATTGAAAGTGTTACTAAGTATTCTTACATATTTCTCTATAATGGTTTATTTTCCATTGTTAGGTTTAAAGAAGTCAGGAATAAGCTTTTACTTGATTATGGGGATTATGGTAGTGCGATTTATAATTTCACCTCTCTTGGGTATTTTGATTGTTAAAGCTGCATATTATTGGGGATTCGTAGGATCATATTCATTATATCAATTTGTTCTTATGCTTCAATATGCGCTTCCACCAGCAACCACCGCAGGTATGATAACTTTCTCAAACTTGATTTCAAGTAGTGTTATGATTAGTCTTATATGAGATGCCATTGACCTTGTAAATGTATTTTTCGATGATTTATGTGTTTTATTATTTTTATTTATGCAAGAATCTTTTGTCCTAAATTTATAATCAAACATTACACATAATTTGAAGTTATGGATGATTCACATATTTTAGATATTATCGAACCACCATGTGTTAATAATCCTAACACATCTCTAAATTACTCATAATTATCTCTTTCAATTTATGATAAAGAAATAATAATAGTTAATTACATGTCATGTGACCCAAACAAGTAATAATTTCTTGTGGTGTAAATTGTGTTTTCATTTAGGATGTATTTGTTGTTTTTTGGGCTGTATGCATATTGTATGAAATTTTGTTTGTCGTACACTTTCACATCTTGCCATATGTTTCAATAGTTCTTTATACTTTAAATGTGATTTTATGTTGTTAATATTTATTAGATAAATGCATTTGCCTCATTAAATCTTCATTATGCTTATAACATGCATGACATACAACTTATTTTTTATTGGATTAAATTTTTTTTAATGACAATACTCATTTTTAGTCTATTAAAAATAATTAACCTTTTTTTTGCTCTACTATTTATAGAAATGTGTCACAAATAATTTTTTTATTCTTTATTTATTGAAATAAGGACTATATAAGGGATAAAAGAGTGAATTTATTTTTGAGATCCTAAAAGTGAACAATGTCCTATTAATAATAACCAAAAATATATTCAATATAATTATTAGTGATCGAGGCCGTACCCGGTCAAATAAAAACAGTTAAATGTAATACTAGGAAGCTTTCCTAGGTCGTCTCTCAAGGACCACTTGTCTCTGCCAAAGGTTCAAACACGAAGGGGGGGGGGAGGGTTTGGTTCAGGTTTTTCAGTTTAAAAACACACTAAAATGCAAGGTAACACAACAAGTAAAATAGATTGACTCCTTGTTCGGATTGTAACTCTCTTATCCTTGGTTCACAATGAGATTACTCTGTCAACCACTTAATCCTTGTTCCATCTGAGTTAACCAACTAAGCGAAGATTAACTCAAGACTTTCCTACACGAATTAAGCAAACATATACAACATTGAACCTCTTCACAGATTAAGCAACTGTGGCATTAAGGACAACCCATTAAGCATGAACACCTTAATACAGAGATTTAATGAAGAATGACCAAGTAGAACAGAGATATGCAAAACGTATCCAACCCCAAATAGAGATTACAATCCAGAGCAAGGAGCCAACCCCAAGGGTTCAGCCTTCCATTAAAATGGAAATAGAAACAAAAACAGAAACAAAAATGCAAGGAAGAAGAAGAACAAGAAATGAGTAATCTGTATTATTCAATTATAAAGGTTCAGTTTCTACAATCAGAGAAGAGAAAAGCAAAGAAAAATGCCCAGAGATGAGCTCAAAAATAGAGAAAAACGTAAAAGAAAAGGAGAGCAACGTGATCACTTCAGATGGTGGCTGCATGGTCCCTACTCTAGGTCCAAAAAACCCTAGAAAAGTCAAAAAAGGCCCCCAATCCAAGTCTGACCCGAATTTACAATGAAATAAATGAAAAATAAAATAAAACAAAATGTTGATGTGGCGTTGATGTGGTGAAGTGGTGCTGACGTGGCATTTATCTCTTGAAGTCCAAAATTAATATCCAAGCCCAAAAATGCTCCACAATTAGCCTGAAGATAATTGATAAATAAAAATTAGACAAAGTGAATCGAAATTAATTAAAATTCAAATTACTGGCCCAATGAAGCCCAAATAGTAAAATTGTATAATTAATAAGCGATTAAGCCCAAATCAACAGTTAAAATAAATACAGAAAGATAAATAAATAAGGAAAAATAACGACTCATCACTTAGTTTGACTCTATATCCCATCTTTAGTTCTAGTGTGCATTTAACATTAGTAACTGATGTTACTTTTCAATATTTGTTGTAATTTATTAAGATAAAAAAAATTATGAAGGTTACCACTACGTGAGGTAGTTTTTTAAGAAATGTTTTGGAGGCACAATGAAAACAATGAGATTTAAACTTATGTTTTCATTTGAACTATCCAAATTCCATATGATTGGATCAATTCTAGGAGATTTTATTTTTAAGCAACTTAGCTTGCATAAAGTGTTTAATTTCTAGGTTTGTTTTTACCATGCTATGCATATTTCATAACTTACAATTTTAAAGTCATTTAACTCTAGAAAAGTTTCCAAGACAATGTGTGAGTATGAAAAACATACATGATTTAGGATTTACATATAAATTATATATAGAAAATGGTGGCACAAAGTTTTTACTTAAAATATTTTTATAAATTTATTATTAACAATATTTAAGGATTATATAGCTCTAACGATTTGCAATAATTAAATCCTTCAATTTTGGCCATAGTTATCAATCTAAGATTATAGTAAGTATAGTGGAAAATTACTAAATGATATATATATGCATAATTTATATTCTATACATAGTTTTATGTGCATTTCTCAACAAATACTCAAAATTTAGGACATTTAATTATTAATAAAATTTTTAAGTAAATCATATGTGTAAAATAAATGAAGAAAAATAGTAATACAACATTGATAGAGGTTGAAAATGCCAAAATAGAAAAAAATGACTACATTAATGCAATTGCACAGGAACGATCCAAGAGTTGGATAAAATTAATTTAGAATTGGCATCATGGTGCTATCACGTGAATGATCCATGATTTAAGTGAAACTAATTTTGAAAAGTTGAATTTAATTAAACATATGTGTGCTGTGTGCAAGATAATTTCAACAAAGATTAGTTGTTTGCCATATTGAGGTACCTTAAAATGTAAGGAATCACACAATTTGAATTTCTTTTGAGAAAGGTATTTACTTTTATATCTCAAATATAAATCTTATTTTTGAAGGATGAAACTTGTAAGAGAAAAATAAAAATTAATCTTAGTAAATTTTTTTTACAATGAGACATGTGTTTAAATGAGTAACTAAATGCATTTATGTTTATTGTCGTATGTCATTTGACCCACCTCAAGTAGAAGCAATAAATATTTTTTTAGTAAATACACAACTATATATTACTGATTTAATTTTTCATGCTATCTTTTATTATTAAATCTTCTACTTTAGAAGTATTTTACATATATGTCGAAAATTTGAACTTGGTAGGTTCCGTTGCCCAATTGCATGGGGTTGGTGAGAGCGAATGTTCTCTTATCATGTTATGGTCATATGCTGTTGCTACATTTAGTCTCACGTTGTGGTGCACCTTCTTCATGTGGATGCTTGAGTGACTTCCATGTTTCAAATTTTGGGTTTCTCTTACAAAACGGGAATATCCTTTACAATGTCTACATATCATCAATTGTTTTTGAAGAATAGAAAAATGAGTTGTAATTATTCCATAATAATTTGAAGCACATTTTCAAAAGTATTTATTATTATTATTTTTTATGTTTGGGTTTCACCATTTTATTTCAATTTTTTTGCTCGATAATCTAATTATTTGTTCACGTAAACTCTAAAGTCATGACATCTTAATGATAATTTGATTTTAATGTTTTATACCTTCACACTATGTTGCGGTAGGAGTTATACAAGCATACAAAAAATGAGCTAAAACATTAAAAGAAAATAGACATAAATCTAATAACATGAAATGAAATACTCAATACTGATACAGTAAAATTTAGCAAAACAACTTTAATACAATAATGTTGTCAAAGAGAAAACTAAAAGTTTTAAGTCCATACTCCTTAGCCAGTTTTGATTGTACACTTTTTTTACTTTATACTTGGTAATTATTTTATAATTAGGATTAAATATATTTTAAATCTTTTGAATTTTCTCGAATTTCACCTTTTGTCCTTAAACAAAATTTTGACCGTTCTTAGTCCCTAAATCTTTCCTCCATTCACATTTTTGGTTCCTATAGTCGAGTATCTCCATTAAATAATCACGTGGCAACAACATTGATAGCCACGTCACCTAACACACCATAAATCATAGTTTTAAAAACCGGACCGGTCATCGAACCGGTTAAGGTACTGGGTCAGTGGGTCAAAGGTTGAACCGGTGGGTCATTAGTTGAACCGCATGACTCGGTTTTTATTTATTTTTATTAAAAAAATATTCATATTAAATATATTTTATACTTATAAATTTTAATAAATTCATATCTTATTTTAAATTTCAATTTTTTTATCTTATTTAAAATTATTTTTATTTTTATTTTGTAAAAAAATACATAAAAAATTACATGTTAAACGGTCATAAATATTATATTATTAAATATATAATTTAAAATTAATAATATATTATAAAAGTTATTTAAGTTGTATATATTGCAAACAAATATATTAGAACAAGTAGTCATTGTTATATTTAATATGACTCCTTCCTTTTTCATTAAGAGATTCAATTTTCATTATTATTTTTTTATGGTTTATGGTCCCTTAAAAAAATTTAAAAAAGAAAAAAAAAATGGTTGAACCGGTTTGACCCACCGGTTCACCGGTTGAACCGGAAAATTGACCGGTTCAATTCGATTTGAAACGGGTCGACTGCATAACCGATCCAACTTAAGATTCGGACCGGCTAGACCACCGGTTCCCGGTCCAACCGGTCCGACCGGCCGGTTTGGTCCAGTTTTTAAATCACTGCCATAAATTAGTACTTTTATGCCATTTTCTCTCCAAAGAGCATTAAATATCAAGTGGTGTCCTTCTTATTATGACTTTTTAATACCTTAATCTGATCCAAGTGGCACCTTTCTGTCCAAAAACATACCTAAAATAAAATAAAACTCTTTAGTTGCATTGTAAAATGGTTTATAACTCTTGTCAATGTATAAAAGCTCTTTATTTATTAATAAGAGAATAAAAAAAATTAAGTTCATAACAAGAGGCACAAACATGCTTTTACAAATCCTCAAAGAAAATGAAACATAAAGAAATAAAGGCATGTTTATGTATTTTTTTATTTCTTTATGTTTCAATTTCTTTGAGGATTCGTAAAGGCATGTTTGTGTTTTTGTTTTTTATTACTTTATATTTCATTTTCTTTGAGAAATTGTAAAGGCATGTTTGTACCACCTGTTGTGAACTTAAACTTGAAAGTTATCCTAAAGAATGCCCAATAAAGGAATGTTCTTTGTAAACTAAAGCTCCCAAACTTGGAATTGGACGTTCTGTGTCCCTGAAAAGCTAAGACAAAGTCATACAATTTCTCTATTGAAAGTTTCACCCATTGGAAATTTAAGGGTCTAGAAAAACACATCAATGATATGGCTCTACACTTCATTTTGGGTTTACTTTAGGAACTTATTGTATTAGTAGTCTAACTTTGTTAATTAGTTGATTATTGGTGTAGACACCCAATTTCGTCTAGGTGCCCTAAAACATGAAGAACGAGGCTAAACAAGGAAGAGAAAACCCTGAAGGTCCATTTTGATGCAATAATGGACCAAAGCAGCATCTAGAGGCCCAAAACACAAAGGGTCAGAATTAGTTCCAGGCCGTTCTAAGCTTTGAAAATAACATGTAACCGTAGGTCAGAATGCCCCGTTCTAACCTAGTTTGTTATGTGCAAAATTTAAATTTGGAATGAACTGTTTTGCTTTGGGAACGGACCGTTCTAGTTTCAAATTTCTTATGTAACAAAAAAGTCTAGAACAACTTGTTCTAGTGGATTTCCATGCCTATAAATAGTAGGCTTGTGAACAGTGTTAGAGGCCCCAAAATTTAGTCTCTAAGAGTCTCTATAGAGTCTATACACTTCTCTTCTTCTCCCCCTTTTATTTCTTGAATTTTGTGAGGTAATTGTAGTGCAAAAGGCTACCAAAAAGTTCCTAGATTCTTCCATTGAAGATCCAATAAAGCTCGATCAAGAGGTATTTCATAAAAATCCTTCCTTTAATATATTATTCTTGTCATACATTGTTGATCAATAAAAACAACCATGTAGACATCTTAGGTGAGATCGTCTAATTTTAAATTCAAATGTAAATAGTTTATCATTAAAAAGGGAGTAAATATTCAAATTATTATTCTACATTATGCTAATTTCATCATAAGGTACTGAGTGAAGTTAGCGAGGGGGTTGAATGTGTGTGTGTGTGAGAACTAAGAAAATCTAAAAGCCCTTTTTTTTTTGCACAGGTAATTTGGTTCTTCTGGAAAAATAAGATTTAAAACATTTGACGATTATGCAAAATTTTCTCAGCTCAAGGTTTTTTGTCTAAGCGTACTATCATCTGCTTCAAGAAAAATGTTTCTTATATTAATAATTCAAGTCTTCGCATTTTCCTTCTAAAGATAGTTTGTATTGAAGAACGAGCAGTAGACGAACCTTTCGGTGTAATATATTTGTTAGGCAAAATTTGCATCTTCGTCAGAAAAATGGTTTTAATGAAGAATAGACAGTAGACGAGGTTTTCAATATGATTTGTCAATTACGAAGAGTTTGTGTCTGAAATATAAATAAAACAATGCAATCATTTTTATAATGGTTCGCTCAACTGAGCTACGTTCAGTCTCCTTCAACTGAAGGGTTCTACTAGATATGAAATGAAGTACAATGAGTATTATCATCCACTCCTGGACCTGAGTATTCTCAACAACTCCTGGCCCGCCAGCTTCACTCACCAACGCTAGTATTTTCTTATCAGCCTCTTCAGGCTAGCAATGAGTATTATTGACCACCCAGGTCACGACCACTCTTGGTCACGAGTATTCTAGACCACCCAGGTCACGGCCACTCCTGGTCACAAGTATTTCAACTACTCCTGGTTGGCTAGCTTCATTCATCAGCTCTAGTATTCTTAAACCACTTCTAGTTCCCCAAGTATTCTCGACCATTCCTGACCCACCAGCTTCAATCACCAGCGCTAGTATTTTCTTGTCAGCCACTTCTGGCTAGCAGTGAGTATTCTCGACCACCTCCTAGCCCGTCGGCTTAACTCGTCGACACTAGTATATTTTTATCAGCCACTTCTAGCTAGTAGTGAGTATTCTTTGACTAGCCTCTCCAGGCTTTACAACTATTCTTTCCCCAGCCTATTTAGGCTTTACAGATGATAGATATTTATAATCAGGTTTGAGTGTTTGAGTTACTCTTACAAAGAGGATACATATATGATTTACACTCTCTAAGGTTTCACTACCTTAGTCCTACAGAGATTCTAAGTGTGTGGGTTACTCTTGTCGAGAGGATAAAAAGGTTTCTACACTCGCTAAGGTTTTAGTAAATAAGTTAAAATTAGAACACATTAGACTACAGAGATAAATACAATTGCTCAATTGTATATTTGACTCTAAATGCTTCGTCTCTGATTTCTTTGTTTCTTGGGCTTGATCTCTTTTTAACCATACTTATGGTTAAGTCATAGCCCAGGGCAACGCCAACCTTTCCCAGTTTGAGGTTATGGCTTATATATAGTCTTGTAGAATCTTCCCGTTGCATATGTCCGTTGAAGCTGATATTGTCGTTCGAGACTAGTTCGATTCTTTATTTAAAGCATTTGATCTTGCATTAAATGCTGCTTCCTGTTCATAGACATTGCGTGTTTTCTGAATCTGCAGTTTCTGATTTTTACTGAGACCTAGGAGCTTCTTGTCCTTTTCCGGTCATGTAGCTACAGGGACTTTGTCTTTTTCTGAAAAGCGGGTGTCCTTTTTCTAACACACTCATGATTTGACGTTTAAGTTTGCTTTTATTCTCTCTTCTTCTTTTCTCATAACTTTGATAACTTCATGTGCTTTTTTGTGAGCATCGACGATAATCAAATTTTTCTTTGAAGCTTAATTCTTCTCTTGCTTGCATGTCAGACTACGTCTTTGTCTGATAGTCCATGTGTGACTCAAGACTTGAACTTCGTCTGAGTATTTGATATTATCGTATGACTTTTCTTCTTGTCTGGTCAACCGTCATATGGATAGACTTTCATTTCCGTCTGGAATGATTATTAGTCTATATTTTCCTTCGTCTAATACGAGGCTGACTTTCTTCTAATTCATTAACCAACTTTTGTCTGGGTATTTATGATGTGCTTTTCCTTAACTCATGTTTGAAGCTTGGTTAATCTTTATCTGATATCTTGTACAGTCTTCATCTGTTGCTTAATCAGCTTTAGTCATGTTCTTCATTTTACTTGTACTTATGCTTTTCTGAAATACTAACACACTTGTTAAAGATAACAACATGTATTATATTTGTCTAACTCAAAACCTTGTTGGGAGTTTCTTTGTCTGACTTAACAATCTCCCCCTTTTTGATGATGACAAAATATAATTGATCAAAATTATTTCAGATAAACCTTAAGGCATAGAATTTTATACAAATCTTAATAAGTACGCATGTTGTTCATGTATTGCGATTCTCCCCCTTAGTACATGCTCTCCCCCTTACTAGATTTCTTAGTAATGACTTAATGATTGATTTACATATCAATATTTGATTAATTTCTTT